TTACCTAGTCAACAAAAACTTGGCAAAATCTAAACTCAGAACTATTGGACTTTCCTCATTATGCCCTTTTCAGTCTCTTCCCCCCAAGTTTTTCTATCCTATGGGATATGGTTCAGCCTACACTGGGTGACAATGAGTGATTTTTAATAAGTAGGACACCAGTTCTGAAGAATATTTGTAGGTTCTTTAGGAAACAAAAGCTAAGATAGTTCATAAATCTTGATCAAACAAAAGTTTAAGGGAATTGAATGACAATTAAAAAATATTTTAGGCATTGAAATTTACAATACTGTTAATGGTAGGGTATCACGCATAAAAATTTCAGTGATAATTTTTATTTATATATTTATTTATTTATTTATTTATTTATTTTTGGGTCATACCCAGCGATGCTCAGGGATTACTCCTGGCTCTGCACTCAGGAATTACTCTTGGCAGTGCTTGGGTGACCATATGGGATGCTGAGAATCGAACGTGGTTCGGCCACATGCAAGGCAAGTGCCCTACCTGCTGTGCTATCGCTCTAGCCCCCAGTGATAATATCTTTTTCTTTTTGGATCACACCTGGGGATGCTCAGGGGTTACTCCTGGCTCTGCACTCAAGAATTGCTCCTGGCGGTGCTCAGGGGACCATATGGGGTGCTGGGAATTGAACCTGTGTCGGTCATGTTGACTGCGTACAAGGCAAACGCCCTACCTGCTGTGCTATCGCTCCAGCCCCTAGTGATAATTTTTAAATTAAAAAATTAAAAAATATTTAATGAGAATGATGTAATATAAAATTTAGCATATATACTTTTAAGCAATATAAATTTAGCATACTTTTAAAATGTGCAGTTATGTTTAATATTCTTATATTGTTGTTCAAGCATCATCACATACCTCTACATCTTTCAAACTTGAAACCTTGTGTCCATTAAAAACTAAGTCTATAGGTTCTCCTACCCATATCCTTGGCTACCACTACTTTTTTTTCTTTGTGTCTATGAATCTGAATACGTTGTGTGTTTCACATAGTGGAATAATATAGTACTTATCTTTCTGTGACAAATTACTTTATTAAGAATAATTCCTCAAGACTAATTCAAGTTATAGTATGTAGCAAAAATCTTCTTTTTAGGATGAATAGTATTCATTTTTGTGTAGCTCATACATTTCATTTATCAATTTCTACAACAATTATCTCTTTATTGTTTTATTTTATAAGTAATTAACACTGATCTAAAAATGGATCTACAAAAAAACTGAACAACTTTTATGAATAGAAGTCTTCTTTGAGACAGAGAAAAGGTTTATACAGAAAATAATGCAGTCATGCTATATTTGAGTTAATTGTAACTAGTTAGCTTATAAAGACAAACGGATACAAAATCGTATGCCTCAGGAGAGATCAGGCATCAAAACAGAAATCTAAAAATTCTGAATAAAGAGGAAGTTTATAAAATTAGAAAGAAAGTGATTTTCATTAGAATAGGAGTGGATGGTTTATTACTGCTGATGTGAGGAGTGTGTATTTAATTTGCTAGATTTATTTTTAAGAAAAATGCCAGAAATTTAAGCTGAATGAAACTTCTTGATGGATAAGTGTATAATAATTTAGAGAGTACATATGCAATGAAGAAATCACCAAGAACTGTGTTTTATAAAGATAATCTATAAAAGAGCTAAGTTATTAGGATGAAGAAGATTGTTCATAAATAGAATGCAATTACTATTAGAGACATTGAAATACTGGAATTGAAATGTATTATTTGGAAGTTGAAGTCAGAAAAACTCTCCAGTAGTAAGAAAGAAAAAAAATCACTCATAAGGTCTTTACATCTTTTACAAATAATGTTTGTGACCCATGATCTTTGTGGCAGATCATGGCTTTTAAGAAAGATTGTGATGCTGTTTTCATACTCAAGCTCTTCTTGAACTTTATCACCTTCCCTCTAGGAAGCCATCTAATTCCTACTCTCTAGGATATGAGTAAGTTTGGGACTCACTTTGTAACAGAGAATGTGCTGGGCATGTTGCTGTGTGGCCCCAAGACTAGTTCCAAAAATTGTTCAGAGGTTCTCCTTTGTGATTGGAAAATTCTGTCCTGAAGTCTTTGTTTTTCACTGATGCAGTCCTCCTGCCACATGTTACTATACAGTAAGAATGCCCAGCAAGCCAGAAGAGATCACATTGAAGAGATCTGAAACTACATGAGGGAAAACGGTATTTAGGACATCTGTAGCTGTTACATCTCCAGTTGTAAGAACTCCTGGGCCCATGAGCCAGGAACCTACCCCTTCAGAGTTTCTTACTCATAACAAATAAGAGATGATAAGATAATTATTGGTCCTTTAAACTACTCCATTTTTGTAGTTCTTGTTACAGAGCCTTAAATAACCAGAGCATTCCTTCTTCTGAGTCACTATTTTATGATCCAATGACCTGAGGTTCAGTAGAACACATAACTAATCTTTGCTTTCATAAAAATTTACAGAATAACTGTCACTGTCTCTGTCACTGTCATCCCATTGTTCATCGATTTGCTCTAGCAGGCACCAGTAATGTCTCCATTCATCCCTGTCGCATGCTAGTGTAGCCCAATGGTGTCTGCTTGCTCCAGGAACACGAAGTGAGACTTGTTGTTACTGTTTTTGGCATATTGAATATGCCACAGGGAGCTTGCCAGTCTCTGCCGTGAGGGCGGGATACTCTCGGTAGCTTTCCGGGCTCTCTGAGAGGGTTGAAGGAATTGAACCCGGTTCCACCGCATGCAAGGCAAATGCCCTACCTGCTGTGCTGTTGCTCCAGCCCAGTGTTGCAGGATAGTGCTACAGAATAACTAGATGTATAAAATTAAAATCAATTGGAAAAAAACCTGCCCAGGAAATAGAATTACATGACTAAACATAATGCTAGAGGAAAAAACCACCAATTATCAGGTGTAACTAGAATTTTCTTGGCTTGCTGGGCAGAGAGGAAGGGCTCTATGCATAAAATAAACATTATTTCTCTTCCACCCTACCCCAGACTACTTACTGAAGAAAAGAAGTTGAGGGGTGATAAGTATCAAAGAGAACAATGTAACAGGAAGAATAAAGTTTAATGCCTCATACTGGACACATTTATGTTAAGTGAAGTAGAAGCATTTTAAACCAGTTACTAGAGATGGGCTAAATGCTGTTACAATAATCCCCTTTTGGGGGCACTCAGGGGTTATGTTTTCTTTTAGGTACTTATTCTTCAGCTGTGGGCAAGAAGCATCCCTAGCTGTGGGTACTTTGTGACTAGAACAAAGGGCATACTCCCTCCTACCCGACATATACTTTATGGTATTTTAATCTTCCTACTTGTCTCTGCTTATGAATTTCATATAGGATTATTTAATGAAGTGAGTTCAATGGGCAATTTAAAAATCTACTTAATTTACCATTTCTTCACTGATGTAGAGAGGTACAGCATACTATACTGCAGACGTAGCAGCCTGGATGTGGTGGAAGAAAAAAGCACTCAACGGCAGACAATTAAGACTTAAGCAGGTTCCAAAACTCTATCCCTGAATCTCAATAACCATGACTAGATGCTAAAGAGCATCACAGATCAAAGACAGAGAGAAACCCTTTAAAGAAACAGCATCAACTGTGTCTTATGCTCACTCAAGGCTTCCGCACAAGAAAGTGCATTAAAAACAAAGGAGGGGATGTAATCTGAAATTTTGTGTCTGGAAAAGGAGATATGAAAATATACCCAGTAGCACTGGAGAAACTTGGGAAAAACTTGTTACACTGGTACGCTTTGGAATTGCACGCACAGATCTTTGACATTAGTGAATATATATTAGTAAATTAGGAAGACTATGAATATTCAGGATTCTTTTGAATGGGTCAACCAGTATGCATGGCAGTAAGTGAGAAAAAAAAATGGATAGGAGGTATTAGGAATTTAAAAAAATGTGACTTTTTCCTATAGTTTTCATAAGAAATCTTTCTACCAAAGCATTGGCGAAGCTGATAGCTAGTAAGGTGAATCTCACCCTCATTGGAGATACTCCCTTTTTTTCCTGGCAAGTTAGAAACCATGTCTTAATCAGAGAATGCTTGTTTATATGGGAAAACCCGTATGCTCACATTACTTACTTATTTATTTATGTTTTGAAACAGTAGAAAAGTTTGTTGGGAAGTAGAAGAGAAAGGATAAAGAGTTCCCAATGTGGGATAGAACTTAGTAAAGGATTAAATTTTGTATGCTCATTTTAAATCTATGTCTGTAATAATTTAAGGACATTAACTTACCTGCAAGAAACTACAGAAGACCCTTGTAGAGGCTTTAAATTTTAGTTCAGTGACTAATAAATAGGCAAACGAACATATCTCCAACAGAAGGAAAAGTTAGTTATGCCAGCACTTACAGTTCTTAACTAGATGTCAATAGCTATGAAGAGAATGTCTCTGAGCAGTGGATAAGGATACAAAAACCTCAGACATCAAACTCATCAACTGAGCCTTACTTCAGCATGGACTTCAAGCAGGGGTCGTTGGGGAGAGAGGAGATTCAAATTAGTAACCAACAAGCCTCTGTTTCCTAATGATCATTCAGACAGAGGTTCAGTGACTGAAAATTATTGAAATGAGGCAGATGTCAAGGGGATGCGGAAATGCAGTTTCTTCCCAGCAGCAGTAATTGCATGTGTACATAGCTTCTCCAAATTTTGAGTAGCCCAGTATCTGATGGGGCAACTTTCCCTTTGTTGCCAACTTGAAAAAAGGTATGGCCTGAACTTAAGGGGCTGGAATTTCCTTGTAGGTGGATTGAAGCACTATTTTCCAATTGTTGGATGTAGAAAGGTCCCTGCTCCCATCATAACAATGCACATCATTTCAGAGTGTGATTCACTTTCTCATTCTGGTCATTGTTTTCACTCTGCTTCTTGTTCCTGGTCTCAAGTGGCTGACAAAGTGACTGGTCTCTATTTACATTGCACAAGAAGAGCAACAGTTTTGAAATATTAGGCTTCCTTTTGGTTCTCCACTGAATACAATTGAGAGTTTTGAATTTTTAAACCTACAGATGTAAAACATCTAAGAGCTGAGGAAATACTCAGGTTTTCCTGGAGATTTTTGTGGTTACATTTGCTTTTTGAAAAGGTGATCCAAGGCATTCTTTGTCTTGAGGGAAATAGTAGTTGGGGGAACATTAAATATAAGATTTAAAAAATCTGTAGCCTCTAAGATGCTTTGCAACCATTTTCTGATGCCAAAAACTACAGAAGAGGCAATAGGCAATCATTCAGAAGTGGCAAACTGAGGTAGAGAATAAAGCAAGAGTTTTCTTTTAATGGAAAAATCGTCTTTTTGTTCAGCAGGAAGAGGGGTGCAGGTGAGCTAAAGTTTAGGAGGAGGCAGCTCTTAGGGTTCTAAAATGCTACTGATAAAATCAAAGTTTGTTCTTCAACCTGAGGGGAACAGGTGCTCTCTGTACCTTGCTTGCTTCCCTGGTCCTCAGAGTCAGGAATAGGGCAGCTGACACTATCCTCTCAGTGAACACTAATGCCCTGTTGAAAAAGAATGCCCAATTCAACATCTGACCTTCGTTTATTTTAGAGCAAAGTTATAAAAGATAGCAGAATGACTCTTGAAAACTTACATTATCTTTTACTACATTGACTATTTGAGAATATTACTGAATATGAATTTTTTGTCTTTTTTTTATTAACACCAAACACCACCAACAAAAACGAAGTAAAATAATCTGCCATATGTTGCATAATATATAATTCAGGAGAACAGGTATTTTTATATGTAAAACATTTCAGTTCAATATGGAAAAAGTAGCTGAAGTTATACGTCTGTGTACATATGTTACACATATGTGCTTTTTATGACATACACACAAAATATACTTTAGAATTTACATACTACCTATTTGTGAGGAAATAACAACTTCACTGCTTTAAAATAATTTGTTTCTTCTTTATAGTTAAATATTCACTAAATATCCATCTGATTATGGATTTTTTCATTGATTTTTTTTAGCATTCTTAGACAGAAGTACACATTCTAAACTCAATGCACAAGCAATTTTATTGCACAATTTGTGGTGATTGGGAAAAGCCATAATTGATGTGTTAAATAACTTCTCAAAGCTAGTGTGGAAATTGGGTTTTGTATTTAAACACTGATGACTGAATACTCATGGATAGTTTACTAGAAACCTTTCATTAAAGTTAGTGAAATCCCTTTCCTTTCTTTAGAAAATTGTACCTAGAACTTTCAAACCATGTAGTCAGTTAAGACCTAGGTCTATGATTTTTTTAAATTATTACTATGTATCCATGTGAGCAAAGCAGTATCCAATGGCAGATAATCCTCAACAATAGAACTGCAACATGCTTTTCCTAAAAACTTTTTTCCACATAATAACGAAGTGCATTAATTGTTCACTTTACAAGTAATTTAAGTCCCATTTATCATTATTGCAGTTATAAACTTTGTCCATTCTCTGATTTGGTTTTATCTTATTTATTTATTTTTTGGTTTGGGAGCCATACCCAGCTATGCTCAAATATTACTCTTAGTTCTGTACTCAGGAATCAATTCTGTCATGCTTAGAGGATCATATAATGCTGGGAACTGAGAAGAGGTTGGCCATGTGCAGAGCCAGAGCCCTACCCACTGTACTATTTCTCTAGTCCCACTGACTTATATATTTCATATATGTAAAATAAGAATAGGTTTAAAATACTTGCTTTTGGAACAGATTGGACCATTTGGGTTTTAGTTATCAATAATGTGATAAACAACACTGGGCATTAATGTAGAAAACAGATTGAGCTTTTTAATGGGACATCAAGTAAGACTTTATTAGCATCTATTAGGTTCAACCCAAAGCTCAGGAAAAAGCATTAATGAGCATCATATATCAGTGAGTCTGTTATTATATAATAGTATCCCCTAAAACTGCAAGCCATATAATACTTTATACATTTTTTTTACCTTTATCTTTAGAATTAGCTGACATCTATCCTGTTACACTGGCCTTACTATTAGTAATAGTGAACCAATTTATAAACCCATTAGTGACACTTTTTCCAGAAGATAAAAACAGTCAAAATTATCTGGCAGCAATTAATCTTAATGGCTGTATGCAGTAAACAGCAATGGGCTAATTCCAGCTCTGTCAGCCCCATCAAACAATCCCGCATTAGGCAGCTTTTCAGTGATCCATTAAGCATATTCAGAACAACAACAAATTCAATGCTGAAGGCATATGCACTAAACATTACAACAGTGATCTTCTGAAGCCATCATTATCTCTTAAATAGTACTTCCCCCATGTATTATCATTATGCTGTACATTAGAAATACTTTGATTAAACTCCCTTAATTCATAACAGACAGCTGCAGACCATTTATGCAGTTAATCTCAACACAACAGCTATTGAGGAAATATAACAAATGAAGGCTGTAAACTGGAAGTCATTACTATGAAAGATACTGGTTTTCTAGCCCTCTTAGAGGAGAGTGAATCATAAAGATGGGCTGTGGGTCTACAGAAATGGGGATGAAACTGTTAATGACCTTTTACTTTCCCTGTAACATCTGTCCCTAATGCAGCTGTGCTGTGGGCAGGGTGTTGGACCAGATTAGGCAGGACCCTTCCACTGAGCATTGACCCATGAAAGTTCTCCAACACAGTGAACCAAAGCTTTTAACTTTTACTTCCAGTTTGAACATTAAAAAGTCAAGATTTTGGTGAAGGACTAACTATCACTTTGATTTCTCTTTATCATTACCACAAAGCACTGAAAAATGCTCTTCTCATTATATGTTTTCATTTAAAGTTTAATTTATAATCATTGTGTTCATATAATTAAAAAAGATTCATATTAATTTTCTATATAAAATTTCTTTTCCATGTGTAGTATTTTCATTAAACAATTCAGAAATCTTTGCATCCAAAAGAGCCTCTCCCTTTACCTCCTCTCTATTCAAGTAACTACTGCCCAAGCTCATATTCCACTCTACAAAATATTCACTGGCTTGATTTGATGAAAAAAAAACCTGTATAAATTCTCCCCAGAATCTTTCTTCACAAAATCTTTCCTTTTCACAGTTAGAGAGACCATAAACATATCTATGAATGGACCTATGTGTCTGGAACCACCCCCTCCCCCCCCACCATAGAGTTTATTTCAAAGCCCTAAACCACAGACACCGTGTCTGTCTTTTAACGAAATGGCCAACTAATTAAAACATAAATTTAGAGACCCTTCTTGCCAACTTGAACAGTACCTATTCCTCCAAGAGGTCCAGGAACACATGAATATTAATGCTGCCTTCTAGTTGCAGAGTAGATTCACTGAGCAGAAGGGCTCCTGTCTCAGTTACATCTGGTATTATAGAGCCTAGTTTCCTGAGTTGTAAGCTGTGACCTCATATGAGATCTAGTAACTGAATGAAGGAGAACACAAAAATTTGGCAAAGTTTCTGAATGTGGGATGACCAAAGATTAATTCAAAGTAAGCACATAATGAATATGAGGTTTCTATAAGTGCTAGCCAATGTTCAATTATCAGGCTAAAAGGAGTGACAAGTGGAAGAAGTTTAAGAAAGTCTGTCATAGACATCCCTTCTCCCTCCCATCCTTTACCACTCAACACTTTCTAGAACATTAGATTTTTATTTATTTTTATTTTTTTAAATTGAAATGTAATTATTTTGTTTGTACAAAGGCATTGTTTTTTACACAGTTATTCATAGTTCAGTTTCAATTCTACAGTGGTCCAACTTAAATACCATAAAAATGTCCTCCAAATGTCCTCAGTTTCCCTCCCAACCTCCACTCCTCCTCCTTGACATTTTAAAGCTCCTTGTACTTTATTTTTTAAGTTAATTTTTTGTTTTGTTTTTATTTTTTTTCCTTAAATTTTTATTAGTGAAATACCATGAGGTACAGTTGTAGACTTACAAATTTTTGTGCTCGGGTTTCAGTTATATAATGATCAAATACCCATCCCTCCCCCAGTGCCCATTCTCCACCTCCAATGCTCCCAGTATCCCTTCCACCCCCTCATCCCCCCCATCCCACCCTACCTCTGTGACAGGGCATTCCCTTTAGATTTTTGGAACATTAGATTTTTAAAGAATGGTAGAAGTGGGGACTTTTCATAATTTTTAATCCTTTATTTTACTGTAAAAAATATGGATAAATCTTGCTATGTCCCTTGTTTCTCAGACTTCCATTTGAGACAAAGTTGTGATGAGTCACTCCTGACACCTGGATATCTGGTCAACCTCAGACCTGAATGAAGCCTGAAGCCACTAGAGTTTTCAGCCAGTTTTAAAAGTCTTTTCACCCTGAGCTTTCCATCCAAAGCTCTACTCCCAATTCTCCCAATGGCTGAGCATAAAGAAGTTTGAGAAACAATGCCCCTCTTAAGAAATTCAAGACGTGTGGCAGCATGGCAATGCCTCTGAAAAGTTCTAGAGAAAAAATATCTTAGAAGAGAAAAGTGATTAACTGAGTATGCACAGACATATCCAAGTAAAAATAAATTTTTTTTGTAGAATAGCTATTAATAATTTATGGGGACCTTGTCTTTTACAAAATGTATTTGGGGCATGGTTTACCAAATTACTGCTTGTAATATTTATGCTTCAAGATTAATCAATGATAAGATAAAATTTTGCAACTTGATTAATTAGTTTTGTCTTAATATTTTTGTTTGTAACATTTCATTTATTTTAAGAACTTCACTGTAAACAAATGGTCATCAACAAATGATGTTTGGAATTCACATGCTTGTTTGACTTTTATAGATCTTGCCAATCTAGGTTCAGTGAACATTGTTCATATAAAAATTTTTGATTGAGATATAAGATTTTCTTCAAATAATGATAAGATTTATGTGAAATATATAGATAGGTCAGAAATTTGCTAACTTACCCTGCTGAGGAATATTATCTATAGCTATAATATGGTTATATCTTGCATCTAAAGTTCAATGTATATATTCTTACATCACGAATCACGAATCACGACCATCCTGTTATTCGTCGATTGCCTAGAGAAGGCCCCAGTAACGTCTCTTTCATCCTAGCCCTGAGATTTTTAGGAAAGTGCTATATTCAAGGCTTTTTAGGAGAATGAGACCCATCATTGTTACTGGTATTTGGCATATTGGGTACGCCACGGGGAGTTTGTCAGACTCTGCCATGTGGGTAGGTTACATTCGGTAGCCTGCCAGTTTGTCCAAAGTAGGAATGAGATAATAGGATGTCATAATAAGATGTCTAACCGG